CTTGATTCTACGATATTCTTTCCATCATTTCCATTGTAATTGATATGTAAATATTCTGTACTGATTTGTAAATATTCTGTACATCTATATAAATAGAAATATTCACCACTTCAAGCAGTGTGGTGAATTCTCTTCAAACTGTCTCATGACCCTTCTTCTTTCCCAACACTAGCCAGCCAAACCACTACCACATTCGACCCTTCTTCTTTCCCAACACATTCACTGCAACACACAACAATCAAACTAAAACATCAAACAAAATCAAAACAAAAAACTAAATCAAAAATCAATTCCACAACCCAATCAAACTCCCATTTCAACTGATTTCGCAAAACACAAAGTTGAGTGGCGGCGGTGAACAGTGGACAATCATAGTCGGGAAGGTTGGGGGTTTCGAAGGGGAGATGCCTGTGAGTGCAGGGGTGGTGTTGATTGGGGTTGAGGCTGTTGAAATTAACCGGAATCCGGTTGGAGACAATTGTGCAGCGCATAGAAAAACCCAGCTGTGGCTGGCATTTTCTAGGTTGGGATGGCTGGTTTTAGCTGAGGAAAGGTTGGGGTTTTGCTGTGGGAGGTTTAGGGAGGCAGATGGTGGTGGTTTTGGGTGAAAAAAGCCAGAAAAGTGGCAAAAAAGGGCGGCGGAAGGACTGATTTCAAAATATGCCAGGGTGTGCTTTGCAGGTTCTGTCAGGTGGGGGATAGAGGGGTTTCGATGGGGTGGGGTTGGGAGATTAAACGGTGGTGGCGGGGTGTCAAGAAGCCACTGGAATCAAGTAGGTGGGCCTGAATTGTAGCCATTTTGAGATGTGGAGGGAAAAAGAAGAAGATGGGAGGAGGAGGCAGAGATGAAGAAGAAATGGGAAGGGAAGAGAGAGAAGGGAGAAAAGACCATTTTAGCCTTTAACGGTTAAAATAAAGAAAACGGTGTCTATTTAAGTATGAGAATCTGGAATTTATGAAACCAGGATACCAACTTAGGATTTCAGTAAGCCTTGGGTGGGAACATGTCGTTTACTCTAATCCAAATGGTGGAGGGGCATTATTTTGATCACCATTTCTAGTTCGGATACATTATAACTGATATAGCTGACTTCATGATTACTCAAAAGCAAAAGCTTAAAGTTGGGTGGTTTTTAGGTTTTGTCACTTATTGTCTGATTTCTTGCATGCTTCATCTTCGCCATTAATGTTATTGGGTTCCAATTCATCAACACCATTCTTTTATTTTATCAGCTTATGCACACTTTCCGATTCCAAATTCACTCTTTTTGTTAGTGTTACATGTTGGGTATTTCGCAATATTCCATTAACTTCCCACCTCTAACGTCACTCACAGGACGCATAACTCTTTTCCTTTTACTATATGGTTCAAAAAAATTTAGGCTATTCCTTGTAATTCCAGTGAGGAAAAAATCACTCATTGCGACTTCTATCATTAAGCGTTACTTTTGTGTTAACTCTATGAAACAAATTAGGATTTAACGACTTTTTCCCAACCCAAATAATGGTTTAATGACACTTTTTCACCCATAGGCTTTTAAAATATCACTTTATTATCCAAATTTATATTTCGACGGTGAATAGAGAGCAAACACTGTCCAAACTGTTAGGGCTTTTGAAGAAGGGAGGTCGATGAATCTTTTGGTGGTAGAAAATTGAATTTTGGTGGTTGATATTGATTGGAGTTTGACTTGGGAGGAGTTATTGCGTAAACTTTAGTTACTCGATTGCCGGCGGCTGATGGGGTCGACGAGAGTAGGGGTTTTGGTGAGTGATGATCGGGGAAGAGAATGATAGTGATATAAGATCTTAATGATGTCGGAATGGAGAACAAGATTATAAATTTGGGTAGTAAAATGATATTTTAAAAGTTCGTGAGTAGGAAAGTGTCATTAAGTCATTATTTGGGTGAGAAAAAGTCGTTTACTCAACAAATTAGTTTGTTGACTTGATTTAGTTAGCTCGAGAAGGAAATTCTTTCAGTTTTTATTTTTTTATTTTTTATTTTTTATCTTAATTTCCTTCTTTTGTACAACAAATTTGTCTTCTGAATTAATGACCTACTGCTCTGATGGTGTTTGTGATTTTACGTTTCAACTTAATTGAAGAAGATAGAACTCCAAGCCATATCCTGAGGTACACATACATTTCAATTTGTTGTTTCGTTTGCTATCTTGTATATGTCATATAATATGTATATTTTATGTTCATTATAAAGAAAATTAATAATATTTTATCCATCCTTACAGGATTAATTTCAATAGGGTTGTTTTAGGGTGTATATATTGAAAGTTAATGAGTCTTAAAAACAATTAAGTAATGAGACTTTCTCCCCAAAGCTAAAGTAAACTTTATTATCATGCAACTTTCCTTACGTCTCCAGTCAAGGTTAATGGATGATCGACATTCAAAGTGGCTGGTGGGGTAGTGTCAGATTTCCATAAAATTTGTAATAGTGGGGCTGTCTCGAGGTTTTATATTAATCACCAATTAATGTGAAAGCCACAAGAAGAAACAAAATTTGAGCAAATTTTGTTTTTTCTTTTAAAAAAACAAGAAGGAAAAATAAAAGGAAAACACATTTTAAGAGACATTCTCTCACCCACAACTGCATTTAAAATTTATACAGCTTAGCTCTAGCTGTATATTCATTCACATTCCACTTTTTTTCTGCAATTTTTACGTACATAATCAGCAAACTTAAAGCTAATTAAGAACTCAATTCTTAATTTCAATAAATAGTATCTTCCTCGAATGTTATTATTATATTTTTCTTCCTTTATACACAAACTATCGATTCATAAGAGCTGCAACTTGCTAAAATATGGGAACATTCCCAGAAGTACTTTTACATCCGGGAACAAGAACCAGACATAATTATCACTTATCAGCCACCAAATGCCGTAATGGACCATCGCTCTGCCGCGTAGATCGACACAAAATAATTTTATCATCGAAGAAGTCCAGCTGTAACTGGGGACTACTCATATTATTTCTAATATCTGTTAATTTTCTTTTCAATAAAATTGTTATCACTTGTTTGACTTATACCAGCCAAACCGAAACTGACGGTGATACATATATATATATTCTTTTCTTATTTTTATTTTTGTACTTGTTGTTTTCAATTTGGTTTGATAAGAAGATGATTTTTTTTTTTTTTTTTTCTGGACCAAATTTTAATTTAGTTATGTGTTGGGGAGTGGGGACATCTGTACTTATTAGTTCACCAGCAGATATCAGAAACTTCACGTCACATTCGAATGAGATCAACCATGTGTTTGGTGTTTCATTATTTAAAATTTTATTTATTATCAAATGTTAATTTCTTGATAGAAGCAATTTGTCTCATACTTAGGATTTGTTTAATTTAATTGATAACCTGTTTCGATTACTCATAGTTTCAAACCTAATTTTAATTTGTTTAGAAGTTTGTGCATATCTGTTAAATCTTAAAAAGAATACATCAGGTCAACTTCTTCACCAAATTAGCTCTCTCTGTCCCTTTCAAAAGGAATCTGCCATTATCAATTTTTGCGACTTTATATATAGTTTAATATATGCTAAATATACACATAAACCACATAATTTAGTTGCAAGGAAAAAAAAAAAAAAAACCAATAATTAATCAATATGGAAATGGAACCATACGTTTATGAGGAAACAAGAATATGTTCTCGTACTCTTACATGGTCATAAATTAATTTTATGGTAATGAGCATAATATATTTTTACCAAATAAATTTTTAACTCAATTCTATTCATGATGACGCATGTTATTAATTCAAGTCTACGCAATTTTCAGAGATATATAGGCTGTTAACTCAAATGGCGATGTGATGATATCATATTAAATTGGAGGGTTTAGGTAGATGGTTATTAATTAGAGTGATTTGTCTTTGGCATGGAGGTGTCGTTCTCAAATTAAGTAGAAAATGCACGAGATCAAATGCATTTGACGTAATTCTTTCGAGATTACGGCCCACTTTAGACAATAGTTTTTGGATTTCTGTAGCTGGAGATCCGTGTGTTAGTTGTTTTGGAGCAGATAGCTGTCCTATAAAAACTCACGGTCCTGAGTTTTCATCACTCTCTGCGCTTTAACGAAGAGAATAAGAAAACGGGAAGAAGATAACATAAAGAATCGCTTTTTGGTGATATTGGTTCTCAGATTGACTAGCAACGTCCCACTTTAAGCCAAGAACTCTGTTCAGCTTCTTGAGAGATTTAAAGGTAAGTTAATGAAGTTTTGGCATTTTAGAAATGGTGATTTCTTCATTTTTTTAATTGTTTTTTTTTTAATAATTTTAACTTCATTTTCGAAAATGCTGCGATGATCACTTATGTTTTGCTTTTCTAGTTCAGATGGTGCCGATCAAACTCCTCGATAGAGTTTTTTCCGCATATTTGTTCATGGTCTGCGCTGATATAAACTTTGTTTTAAGATTGGTTAAATGGACTGCTTGATTTTCCAAACGGAACTAACTTAAACTATCGAGAAACTTGATAAATGTTTTAAAGATTTGTCCGGTTGAGATGACGTGAGACTCATAATTTGTTTCCAGAAGGTTATATGGATATGAATCATGGTAACTGTCTGTGGAAATTTTGAACCACCTTCTTGTCTACGCTTGAAAAATTTCTTTAGACAACATGAGATGCACATTTTGTGCTGCTGTAGCCATGTTTAGCATTTTTTCCTTGAAGCAGTTGTGGCAGAGATTAATTGGCCGATGAAGTTTATTAAATGATGTTTCCTCAATTCCAATTAGTGAGAAAGTTTTTGAATATCTTAATATTTCTGTAAATGCTTTCTGTAAAGTTGATCACACATAACAGGACTTGAGACAGCTTTTTAAGTAACATGTTATGTGTTTCAGGTGGTTTTTGAATGGTAATGGAGAACAACAAATTCATGGATCACGCAAAGCAGAATTCCCCTGAAGAAATTCATCACTCCTCCAGTTCTTTCATCAAATGAAGTTGAGGGCTTTGACATTTGGAGGAAAAAAAGGCTTAAATAATCAGAGTCAACACAAGTGAAATTAAACCTCTGAATTCATCAGCTATGGTAAGGATACATTCTATTTGGTGCCTTCTAGAGAAGAGTAGAAACAGGGCACTGCACAGTTACAGTTGTTAGATTAAGCATTACTAGAGGTTTTGTTGTAATAATGATGCGTGTGGGAGCTATTTAAATTTTGCTATTTTTAGTTGTATTGTTATGGTGGTTGTTACACTTGCCATTTTTTCCAGTAGCTGTTTTCAGTTTTTTTAATATTAAAAACCCAGTTTCTGGAATATTTTCTGAGGTGGGTTTATGACCTAGTGCTATTTAATGGAGGGGAAAACACCAAATATATATTTTAGATATAATAATGTTTTCTGATTCATCTTTGACAGGTTACTGACACTGCTGATGTCCAAAGCCAGAGCAAAGAATCTCATCATCACAGGAAGGATTCTGTTTCTATTAGCATGCCATCTTCTCCCTTCAGGAGTGATGAATTCCAGACTCCTAAAAGCGTTGCTTTTAATCTCAGCGAAAAAGAATCTAGTACAATGATTTCAGATTCTACTGCTGGAGGAATTCCAATGCATGCAAAGTCTCATTCTCAGCCTATACCTAAAGGGTTTGTAGTAGAAAGGACAGTTGAGAATATAAATTTCATCCATCATCCAAGTAGAGCTAGTAGGTTCAGGGATAGAAGGTTTGATTCTTTCAAAACATGGTCTGGAAAACTTGAGAGGCAGCTGACAAACCTCCGCGGTGGAAGGCCACAGGAAGTTGGACCGGAAGAGGAAACCAAGAAATCAGAAATGGAAACTAATTTGCCTGTTGACAGATATTTTGATGCACTGGAAGGGCCTGAATTGGACACCCTTAGAGTCTGTATTTATTTATTTCATATCATTCAATTATTTATCTGTTAATTTGATGATCTAGTACTAAGAATTTCATTAAAATTTAATTTACAGGCTTCAGAGCAGATATTGCTTCCAGAAGACAGGACTTGGCCATTTCTTCTCCGTTTTCCCGTCTCTTCATTTGGTATCTGTCTCGGAGTTAGCAGCCAAGCAATTTTATGGAAAACTTTGGCCACCTCTGAATCCACAAAGTTTCTCCACATAACCCCACTTATAAATCTTGTTCTGTGGTTCATAGCCGTTGCTCTTGTGGTTGTTATCTTTTCAGTCTACCTTATGAAAGTAATTTTTTACTTTGAAGCCGTTCGTCGCGAGTATTACCATCCAATTCGTGTCAACTTCTTCTTTGCTCCTTGGATAGCCCTACTGTTTTTAGCTATGGGAGTCCCACCTTCAATTACTAAGACCTTACCTGGAGCCCTTTGGTATGTTATTATGACTCCAATATTTTGTTTTGAGCTTAAGCTCTATGGACAGTGGATGTCAGGAGGCCAACGCAGACTTTCAAAGGTGGCTAATCCTTCAAATCATCTAGCAATTGTTGGCAACTTTGTGGGGGCATTATTGGGGGCATCCATGGGGCTAAAAGAAGGGCCTCTTTTCTTCTTTGCCGTTGGCCTGGCTCACTACACAGTCCTGTTTGTTACTCTCTACCAAAGACTTCCAACAAATGAAACGCTCCCAAAGGAACTCCATCCTGTGTTCTTTTTGTTCGTCGCAGCGCCTAGTGTTGCTTCTATGGCATGGGCAAGGTTGCAAGGTTCATTTGATTATGGAGCACGGATCGCCTACTTCATTTGCTTGTTCCTTTATTTCTCACTGGTTAGTCTCCAATCGCCTAAATACATTACCTCGTTGATCTTTACTATCATAATCATATAGTTCTAACCTCTGCTATTTTTTTGTTCTTAAATGTGATTATGCAGGCAGTTCGAATCAATTTTTTCCGAGGATTCAAGTAAGATGACATGAATGAATTCCTGTTTAAGCTATTGTTTTGCCAATTTAAGGTTCAGTTTTCTCAAGAATGTGTTGTCTCTTGAATTTACAGGTTCTCATTGGCTTGGTGGGCATACACATTCCCAATGACTGGTGCTGCAATTGCTACCATTAGGTACTCAAATGAAGTCACCAATGTAGTAACTCGAATTCTTGCTGTTACACTCTCTTCAATTTCCTCACTCGTTGTAACAGCTCTCCTTGTAACTACAATACTCCACGCCTTTGTGCTCCGAGACCTCTTCCTTAATGACATTGCCATTGCCATTAGTGAAAAAAGGCCAAAACACCACCATCACAGAAAGTGGCTCCATCATCTAAGACATGGAAGCTCAGACCACAAAGATATTGAAAATTACTTGAAATTTTCTCCGGAAGGTAAGTATGTAGAAGCTTGTGTAGATCCTCGTAGTACTGATAATGAAGAGAGTATTGAGAATAAATTGTGAGCTATTTTTGGCCCAAGTAGTGTTCAGGAGTATGTGTTAAATGTTTGATCCTCGCCATTTTCTGAATCTTCATCATTGAATCATGTGAGGAACATATATTATAATCTAGGAAGTCTAAACAGTTCCAGTGACCATGCTCAGAAATGAGATGAAGATTCATGCTGCAGGGATGATGTAATGTAAAACAGTTGTATTAGTTAATAATCAGATAGCATTTATGTAAATTTTGACTATTACTAGAATAAGAGTGCCAAATCTTTTGTAATTCACATGCGGTCCAATGAATTAATAAACCAAACAAAACAAATGATACCTTCCTCTGCAGCTCCTACACCATATGGCATATGCAGTAGTATTATTTCTTACATAATATGAGACTTTTTGGTTATTTCAAAAGTATTGTTCATCTCTTTGGTTATTTAATTAAATGAGGTTTAATGAATTAAAGGAAACAAATGGGACCTCTCCCTGCAGCTCCCACACCATATGGAGCCCCTTGCGCTGCTTGACTTTTTTTGAGTATTTATAAAGCATAACTATATGGGTTAGACTCAATACAGATAATCACATTACATAATTGATTAAAAAGCTATTACTTAAAAGGCTATGAAATATGTGAGACTTTAAAAAAAAAAGAATTGTTGGATCATAGCAACTTTGAAAAGCAAAGGCAAAATGCGCAAAATCAGGCAACCTGAAGATAGCATTTTGCCAGGCCCAAACTATGGACAAAATGGATCCATGTAAATCCCAATGGAACCCCAAATCTACTGGATCATTCCATGTAGATCCATGATAAATCCAAACTATTGACAAAATGGATCCATGATAAATCCAATGGTCAACTCTTGGCCGTTGTTGACGATCAACGATGACCAACTCTTTAGCCGTCTTTGACGGTCAGATCTGGTCTTTTATGACCGTCGATGGCTAGATCTGGCCTTTTGCGGCCATCGACGGCTAGATCTGGCCGTAAATCTAGCATTTTCCAGTCAAATCCATTTCTGGCCAGATCGACACACCATAGGCCAGATTCGATCAGTATGAGTCGTAACGGTAGATTCCAACCAGATTCTGGCGATGGTGGCCGAAATTTGGCACTGCGGTGGTAGGGGTGTTTTTGTCATTTTATAAATTGGGTGTTTTGTAATTATTAACAAAACCAAGGATATTTTCGTCCACATTGTCCATTGTTTTGGGACAAAATTGGACAGAAATTTGGATTACCGAAGTAATATTTTAATACCATCCTCCCTCCAGATGATATTATTCCCGGTAATTTACCCAGTTTTGGCACTGTTTATCATCTTATTTTCCGATAATGTTTTTGTATAAAAATGTCAAACACAATAATCTGCTCAATTAAATAAATATTACCCTTGTTAAAAAATTTCAACCCGATCTAAACAGGCCCAAAAGGCTATTAAATATGTGAGACTTAAAAAAAAAAAAAAAAATGTTGGATCATAGCAACTTTGAAAAGCAAAGGCAAAATGCACAAAATCAGGCAACCTGAAGATAGCAATAATAGCATTTTGCCAGGCCCAAACTATTGACAAATGGATCCATGTAAATCCAAATGGAACCCCAAATCTACTGGATCATTCCTTGTAGGTTCTCTCGGCAACGTGCTAATTTAACTTCTGTAAAATATTTTCCTTATTTCCAACCATAATTTTTTTGTTAATTTCTCGACACATTTTGTGAATTCTAAATTCATGAATTTTGACATGGGGGCCGGGCATATGCCAGTTTAGGCAAGAACATTCATGCATTTGCTGAATGGCTTGAGATGTCTCTGCAAAAAATATGTAACGTGCATTAAGGGAATTTTTATGTGGAAAGAACATCATCCAAAACAAGAAACTGCAGCTGCCCATGTGTTTACTTAATACATGTTCCATTACTTGTATCATCCTCTTTCTCCAAACAACTCCTGATATAGACCTTGTCTTATCAGTGCAATGAATAATATCCATTTTGTTCAATACTAGGTAGATAATCCTGAACACTTAAATATATGCATTGTTCATTGTCCTAAAACTCATAACAACGACTTCAACCCTTACTGCTCTCATCCGACACAAACCTCGCAACAAGGTCTTCGTCACCTAGCCTGTCCTGTTTGTTGCATCTGTCTCAAGTCATTCCAAATCAACCTTCACGGGCAAGCAATTTTCCCTTTTTTTTAGGCGTAATTATCTGTTCTCACAACGCAATATTGAGCTTAAATAAGTCATTTGTTGGAGAAAATTAAACTCGTGTATTCTCTCTACCTAAAAGATACAAATTTTATGGGTATTGCCTTTTATGTTTTTTAAGGTCATGATGCTTGCTCAGCTTATTATCTATTTCATGCAAGTGTGTTTACACATATTGCAAATTCTAAATTCATGAATTACCTTCAAACGTGGGATGAAGGAAAGCTCATTCATGCATGCATTTGCTAAAAAATATATAAAGACGTTTGTGATGTCTTTGTAACAATGACGAAAGGCATGATAATATAAACTTAAAGATAGCATTGGAGAATGTCATCGTTCCCCTAACTAACCTGCACTTTAAAGGTAAAAAATGTAGTCTGTTCACAAAAGTAGCGGCACTCAAAACTAGTACGTGCTTCTTTTCACAACATACAATCAATACGAAATTGATAAGGTGAATCTTTACACACAAGGCTAGCTATCACTTTGTCCTTGATGTCTTGAATATGTCCCATTACTTTCATCTCCTTCAACCCAAACAACTCATTGATAAAGACCCTGTAGCCTTACTAGTGCAATGAATATTAAACACTACCAAATTCTCAACAAAATGAAGTCCTTTTGCATTTTATAGATGCATGACAAGTAAAATATCTTAAACCATATGTAAATAAAGATTATTTGTGTAGCGCCATCGGTTCCGAGTAATTTGAGGACATTAACAGAAAGCATATATCCTCATGTAGCTTGAAATTAAAATGACAAGATGGGTGTGTTAGTGACTAAAGAATTAATAGCAGCGACAAGTAGCATGTATGAGGTTTCGGTCCCCACGCTAATTAGGGTGATCTGAAGTAGCGACAAGAGAAAAACAAACCCATAAAGACCCTCTTGGTTGAGCTTCTTCTGGGAAGAAATAGAAATCCAATAAGCAAGACAAAAAGAAGTAGATAGGAACAGAAAAATCAATGTTATCAAAGTTTGTCATATATGCAAGCACATTTTGTCGTTGTCTCCCTATCCTACTTGTTGACATGTGACAAACTTCCCACTCTCACCCAATTTTTAAGCAACTTCATTACCTATTTCCTGGACCATTTTGCTAAACTTTTGGGTTAAGTTACCAGCAATTGGCTAGAAAATATAGCTACCTTCATCATTGAGAGAACTAATAGGCATGTTCAAAGGTGTAAGACTCATATTATATATATATATATATATATACATATACTATTGGACCCCATATAAATTGGGACCAGAAAGCAATTTTAATTACCAGGGCTAGCTAGCTTGATAGCTCTTCAATAACTAGTTTATGGGTTCAGTTTCAGAAGCATAAGTTGATAAAAAAACTCTTCACAAAAATGTGTGCTACAATGCTGCTTAAGATATTAGGCACAAAAAGAATCCACAATATGATTGTGTTGCAAAGATGCCACTAAAGTTTGCAGTAAAAAATGCTCTCTAGGAAGCCTAAGTTCAATCACTTACAAACAGAAAAGCCAAAATACATGCAACATGTTTCAATCTATGGCACAATATTTGGTGGAAAAAGCTTTACCTTTCCCATGAACTAATAGTTTATGCAGCCTTTTGTTTTTTGTTTGTTTTTTTTCCCCCTTTGATTCTATGCCATTATCACAAGTTTCTTCCCTTCAATTTTCATGGCTAGTGGGCAGACTAACACAAGTAATCTATAATTATAGATATATTAATTATTAATTAGTTAGAACCCCTACATGCAATTAAGTTGTCTTTTGAACATTAATTGGTGAACTTCTTGGGACAGAGATTTCAAAACCATCTTCATCTTATTACTAAAAAAAAAAAAAGCAACAATAATTAATGGACTTAATACTAACCGGTTGTCACTAATTAAATATTAATTACCACATTAATATTTCTAAATTCTATTAATTGTATGCGTGAAAGATAATTTTACAGAAACAAAGAAGAGGAACAGCTATTGGAAGCACAGCCCTCTTGAGAAAAAATATCATTGAACATTTGTATGAGAAAGTGACCCAAATCAGAAGTGAATAGTAATATATGATTTTAATAGTGGTTTCATCAATTTAGAAGATCTTCATGCATTAATTTGCCCTCTAATGGCCGACATCCCCAAGTTTCTTTATTAAATTATATGTACATGTCTTGTTTTGTTTTGTTCCAATTAAGATAACTTCTTAAACTTGAAACCCTTTCCCCTTATGGTTACAACATTGATTGCATCTCTCCCCAGACAATTTAGGTGAAAATCGTATCATTAAACTCTTACAAAATAGTTTAAGCTTTTAAATAGAATGACTGAACAACAAAAAACGAGAAATCAGCTGCTAACATGGAGAAATCCCAAGATTCAATTTCAACATCAAGGGCAGAAGGCTAATTTCAATTTTCTCAAAACAAATTGAGGGACATCTGGATTGTGGAGGACCCAACAACATGAAATAATAGAAGGGAAATAAAAAATTCAGTATGCTTTCCTCACATAATCACATTGTGTGTTTCTAGAAAATGGAAATGAATAAAAAAAAAAGTATCCCTGATTGCATTAAGAAAGAAGGAAACTTTAAAAAAAAAAAAAAAAGGAAGAGATTCTTTTTAATTGATATCTCTTCTTCCATAATGAGAAAAGACAAAACCAAAATCGTAATAATTCATATTTTGATTAATTTGATTCTCTCCCACAGGCTCAGGCATGGCCACACAGGTTCCATTGCCGACCACCTTAACAGTTTCTATCTACTCCCTTATAGGACAAATTTACATTATCATCTCAACGAGAAATGATCAAGAAAGGACAAGAAACACAAGTGGCTGCTTATTTCCTATCTTCACATGTTCCTTTCTTTTTTTTTTTTGTTCCTTTACTTTTGTTGAACAGCAAGCTTCAAATTATTTTCCTGAGAAAATCAAAGAGAAAGAAACTTGGTAATCTCATTCAAAATGACTTAATTAGAATTGATCATGAACAAGGATAGGCAAAAAGTTCAAGTCTTACCAATAGATCTTTTACAATGGAGAACTGCCTCGTAAATGGAGCTTTCAGAGTCACAAGATTTGCGCCAATCATCGGCAGAGTAAGCGACGCTTGCTCGTGGAGTTGTTTCTGCAGAATATACCCAGGTGTTCATTCCATGAACTCTTGTATCAACAGTTTCAGCTCTAGAACTTGATCTGTGCCCACTTATTCTTTGATACAATGGCCTAAGAAAATCCAAATATTTCTGAAAAATTCTCTTTGATACTTTTCGACACCTTCTCAAGGACGAACATCTTCTCTTACAAGCCGGAACCACAAGTTTTGATGCATGTGAAGAGGTAGAAGGCAAGGTTAGAGATGAATCCGAGGCCTCATATGCCTCCATCTTCAATTGATCAACAAAGAGAGGCATTACATAACCATTGGAAAACAGCTCATCAGCATGAACAAGAGCAAGAGGAGTTTGTGAGCTAGGGAAATCAAACTTGAATTCCTGGGAATTTCTGATGAATCTCTTAGATGGTGGCATTCTTGGGTCCATCTCAATGAAAGAAGCTTCATCACATGCATCAAGTGAGGCCCTAAAGGAGTTGTCAAGGCTTTCTAAAGATGGCTTCAAGTTTACTAACCAACTGTATGAAAAACTTTCAATTGAAAGAGGCTGGGAAGTTTCCATGGCTGCTAATATTAAGATATGCAGAGAACTGAAGAAGAAATTATAAGGGAAAAAGATAACAAGGTGGAACATATCTCTACCATATTTATATACCTTAATATCATCTTTCTAACAGTTGTGTATGTGGTTGTCTGGCACGAGACAATGAATTTTAATAATTGAAAAGGGAAAAGAAGAAAAGAAACAAATAGGTGAGCCCCCACAAGCACCCACAAAGGTATTGTTGCATCACAAGTCTACCCTACTTTTTCTTTAAACTTCTCAAAAATGCCTCTAAATTTTAAATTTAATTCACACTTGATCAGCAGGAATTAGAAGGAAAAAGAAATATGTTCATGCATATTCCAATATTCTATTAGAAGCAACCTCTTGAAACAAAGAGAATAATATGATTAAAGTCTTATGCTTTCAAATGTTTCTTGTAAACCTATATATAGATTCTATAATATGTGGAGAAATAGATGAGCTAAGCAGAGGTTTAGGTAAGCAGGTTCATGCACAGACTCCATTAATTATTGAAGTTGCTCCTAGAACAAGAATAAACAGAGACTACCACAATGAGTTCAAATTTATGTTGGCAACTAAAATTCTTTATGCTTTAGAACATTTTACATAAAAATATAAAAAAAAAAAAAATCGAATAAATTGTAGATAAAATTGATAATATCGCTTTCATTTGCTTTTGTTTTGTCATTATCCTTTATAATGTTTATTACTCTATTGATTAATTTTTTGAGTGGGCATCACTGGTTTGAAAGGATGACTTCACCACTTTGATGTTTACATTCTAACCACTGACCTAAAGCCTCAACCTAGAGAATAAACTACTTTTCATAAAACACAACAATATAAAATACAACTCATATGCTCTACATACAATTAAATAAGATATGAATTTTATTAAATATGAACAGGCTCTTAAGATTCTGAATAGGTGTGTTTCAATTAAATATAACATGCTAGTGATTTTTATATAGAATATTTAAGTGACCATAAACTGCTGCAGGAGTTACATCAGACCATCATTATAAAACAAGAAAAAAGGATTTATAGCAGAATTAAGATATTATTCTTCCAGGGTTTCGGAAAATAAAGATTTACTAACCCTGGAAAACCTTAATATTTCCAGGAATTATAGCTAGACAGTTATTAGATGCATATACTTTTTCCATCCAGAGATAGCTAGAGTTACAACTTGTGTGAAAAGAAAAATGTCATAATACCATTTGACAAGATTAACAAATTGCAATTTCAGTTTCCAATTCTGGGCAAAAATGTAATCAGACAAAGATTCTCACAGCCTCTCTCATTCATTGCAACATCAAAACAAATGCACAACAAGACATTGGACTTAAATTCCATGACTCAGTAAAGAAAATAGATAAATATTATGATACCTACAGTTATACGTAGGCCATGGCTATAACCCTGTCCTTGAATCGGTTAAAGTGATACATTTGAAATCTCAGAGGAAGGCAAAAATATCAGTTAGTTCTCTTGGTAAGGAAATTCTACGCTTTTATATCCACCAACGGTCCGAGTGGTGGTGAGTTCAAATTTGCTCAAAACTTAAATGCTAGAGAAAGTAATGTCCTTATCATAAGAAATAGTACTAATTATTATTTACAAACAATCTACAAAAACAAAAATAGCAGACAAGGGTCCCCAGAGCTGTTGGAGAATGAAATTGACATTGACCAAAGTTTCTGGGACAGAAGCCAAATAATGATCGTGACTCCTAAACAATTGGTCCACCCTCATCACAACATAAAAGCAATTACTAGAGAATCCGCACATTCATAAAGTAGTTAAGTTCCAAATAGAATGTTTTTTGTAGCACAAAATTAGTATTTATAAAGTATTTATTCAACACAACAAAACGATAACTTAATGCAACTGAATTACAGAAAAATTTCAACATGAATGAAGAAATAAATCTAGTTCCTGATAAGGTAAAATATTGAGCCGTCTAAATCGTGCTATATGTAGAGAATATACACCACACCATAGTCTGTACAAATGTCTAGTGGCCAACACTGGGGTTAAGTAAGTGGCCCTCACCAAGAATTATAAGACTGATTCATAGGCTTAAACTGGTCTTCTAAAATTAATAGCTGCAAATCTCTTCCTAGATAGTGAGGATGTATCAGCAAGTGCAAATGCACAGTAGCGAAGAGAACTAACTAATGGTCCTGAAAAGCATCTACTGTCTACATAATGAAGCTTTAACATTTTTCCAACTGAATGGAATACTCTATGATTGCAGACTTTAAACTGTCCTTCAACAGTCAGAATTCACCAAATGATATCATAGAGGTAACCTGCCATCAGTTCAATAAAAAGGATGAAAAAGGAGAACTACTTTTTTTCTTTTTTCACCCTTAATTTTCTCATAAAAGGACTATGGCATTCTCCGTTTTATGTTGCAGATTGTCGTAGGAACAGGACAAAACCTGAAATTCTCATGTCAGAAACAACACTTGCAATGGGTCACGACCTGGTAGAACACCTTCCAAGCTAAAATTAGGTAAACCCTAGTTCCCTAAAGACCAACTCCATTATTAAGTAATGGAAAGCTGATAGCTGATTAAAAAAAATAAGTACAGAGCAAGAAAATTATTTCATAAGCCCCAAGAATACTAAGGCATTCCACAGGCTATGCAAGAGCATTGATGCCAACAGGTTTCTTGATTGTGCAAAGACAGAACCCATGACCACCCAAGGAACACAAGTGGTAGCATCCTCTGCATATTAAAATGCGCCACGGAAAACGCCATTGAACTCACCAAAATTGAGCACCACACAGGCATTTACTTCGTCAATGAAGGGGGAAGGAACCTACATAATACAATCTCCTTCCAAATGGGGGCACAAACTGAAACAACCACTGCATAGAGTGCCATTGCCACCGGATCTCGTGCAACAATTGATTGCTCAACACTTGAGACAGTAACAGATGTGGAGGGAAGAACAGGTAACAAATTCAGGTTGACCTGTGAGAGCTGGTTGACCAATGGAAACGTAAGGCAGCCCAAAGCGAATCAAACTGCCACTTTCCATTAAGGCTAAAACCGAACCAATCAGATGGAAGGGGATGAAACATTGAGAGACAATGGCAACGGATTGCAATCCCAATGAGACCTTCAGCCATATCAGTCAAGAGTCTATACAAGGCTTGCCCTCTATATGTCAGGGACTTCTTTCCAAACCCTGCAGTGTGAGCTATGAGTGGAATTACCCAAGATCCTACTAACCAGAATGAGGAAATCCAGAGGAGCATATCCTGTGACACCACAAAACCTCACTTTACTTTTTTTTTTTTTTTTGCCTAATTTTCTCACAAATTTAAGTTCAAAGTCCTATAACATGGTTAAACCTGTTACAGTTCATTTGAACACTAAAAAACATGATTTCATCAGGTTTATTATGAAAATTTTAACATGAAGCATGAAGACTGGACCATGTTANATGAGACCTTCAGCCATATCAGTCAAGAGTCTATACAAGGCTTGCCCTCTATATGTCAGGGACTTCTTTCCAAACCCTGCAGTGTGAGCTATGAGTGGAATTACCCAAGATCCTACTAACCAGAATGAGGCAATCCAGAGGAGCATATCCTGTGACACCACAAAACCTCACTTTACTTTTTTTTTTTTTTTGCCTAATTTTCTCACAAATTTAAGTTCAAAGTCCTATAACATGGTTAAACCTGTTACAGTTCATTTGAACACTAAAAAACATGATTTCATCAGGTTTATTATGAAAATTTTAACATGAAGCATGAAGACTGGACCATGTTACAGCTAGCTTAAAAAGAAAAGCAATGGATTTCAATTGCCATGCCAATTGGAGATGCTTAAAACTAAGAGCAATGCTAGTTTTACAAAAACACATACAAAGGGGGCATACAAAGACAATCCCCACCCTTGATTTTCATGATTTCTCTCTCCTTCTCTTTCTCTTTTTCAGTTTTTTCTTTATTTTTTTCTTTGGATAATGTCACTTTGTAGCCCTCTTTGTATGGGTCTTTGTAAGGATAGCATTTTTCTAAAACTAAAATCTATTATAAATTGTCCATCCCAACATGTTAAAATTTAACACACAATTCATGTTTGTAATATGGCTGCAATATCAATCCAATATCATGTCCAAGTGTTTTGTTCTTAAAATTTGTCCCTAGAGAAAGGTGAAAATATCTTAGCGGTTACTAATTTGTAACCCTTTTAATAAAAGTTCAATTTTGTTCCCTCAACAACAAAAATTTCAGTATGTCAGCAGATTATTTGGATTACTGCTCAAACATAATTAAAGTTGAATCGAGAACTGCACTACAAATTTCTGCACATTGGTAAATAGATGCATTTTTTTTGCAGAATCCTTCATCATTTTATAGACTAAAGTTGCATCACAATTTCAGACCAACAGGTACAGACTAAATGTTCATGATAAGAATCCAGAAGGTATCACCACCCGTAAAAAAGGAGTGGCATTTAATAGTTTGAAAACAATTCCTAAAAATAACTACTAGATAAAGTTAATATCGGTTTCATTTCAGAACATCCTTTTTTTTTTTTTTTTTTCTTATCTAACTGACTTAAAAAATGCTTCACCTGCAGAATGGTCTTTCCCCATTTCCCGTCCATGGTACTGTCCAAGATCCAGAGCTAAAATAGTGCATGCGTACCCTAATACACAAACAAAAACAAAATCCTAAAATTATGCAAAACATCTAGCCATTGTATCCTATATAAATAAATGTACATAATTAATTAATTTGTTACCGTAACCGCTAAAATGGCCACTTAGATGCTTTGACCAAGAAACCTCAATGTAAGAGAAAAATCATCTGAATTCATTTAAATATAAATTCCTAGCTAACAAATAATTACGATTTATGCGTTAAATGGTTGAAATCAATGTATGATGAAAATTGTAAGGCATAATGCAAAAGCTTACCTTTTGAAGACTTGAAACCGTGTCATTTCTCAAAACAGTTGAATGATCAAATTCAGGCTCAGCAAATTCTTCCTGCAATTTATCTTAAACAAACTCGGACTTAGAAGCATCAGAATACGAGGAATCTCCATTTCTAAAGCATTCAGATCTCCATTTCTGCATGAAATTCATAATTTTACTTTAACCAAGCTTACTCATTGTGTTATCGTAAACAAGAACAATTGAATAAATGAAAATATCTTAACAAAGCAGCTTAATCACTGAAATTCTTAACTTACCTGATTCTTTCATGTTTTCATATTGCACATTGAGAATTTAATTTAAAAAAGAAACCTTGTTTCACCTTTTTGTCGGAAACCAAAACGCTGGGTATTGGAATTCTGAAAAGACTTCATAAACAGATGTGTAGAGGAAGCATAAGGAGCTTACATGATTGAGAAACGTAGGGGGAGAAGCAGTGACACGTAAGCTTCGGTGGAGTGAAAACGGCATCCTTGGAGGCTTCAAAACCCAATGCCAATAATTGGGAGATGGTGAACACGAGAGAGTGTGGGAACATAGTGATGACATCATGGTGGCACCGGATTGATTGAAATCCAGGAGTAGAAAGTAGCTAATTTATGGATCGGATAAGTAATCAACGGACATGGAGATTCGTACGCGTCGTTTTGGTCCTTCTGGAGACACAGGGAAAATGGTAATGGAGTCACCAGTTTCCTCGAAACTAACAGCCGCGAGGTGTTCGCCCGAATGTTAAGGGAAGAGGGAAATAAGTGAAAAACGACGACGTTCAGCTCCCCTTAAAGCTTTAAATTCCCAAATTTTCAATAGCTTAGTTCTTTCGATGGCCCATTGAAACTCTGTGGAGATATCATATGATGTTATGGGACGAAAGAGAGATTTGTCAGCTCAAAAGTCAAACAAAGAAGAAATTGCAAGTCAAATATCTATTCTTGACATATAAAGTAATGCTCAATAATTTGTATTACTACAAAAGTCAGAGAATGAAAATCTAATAATTGAAATCCATCTCCTGTGGTTCACACCATCATCACCTTGATTGGTCAACAATCACCATCTTCCTTCCAAAGTACACTGATATGTACAAGAACACAATGTGAAAATCTGAATAATTTCTCATGCAAAATAGATCAACTACGTGTCAAAAGCTCTTGGCCTTTCGGCTAGTTACAGTTTCTTCATCACCATATACCAACTAACACGTGCCTTAATTCCCAGTTCTTCTTCTCAGCCGACCATATGATACGAACTCTTTTTCAAAATTTAGCTCACCCACCAGTGTATACGTGGTGTGATCTTCCATCTTTCTTCCCCACTTTAAACACTTGTGCACTTTGTTTTACTTTCTATAAGAACATCGCCTTGCCAATTTAAGTAAGTTGTTCAGTTTTACTCAGCTTCACTATAGCTCTTCATGGCTCCTTCTTTGTGTTCTTCATGGTTACTCCTTGTGTTTTTAGTCATGGCAACTGGGTTTAGTTGCTGCACGGCTAGCCAAATTGGTTTGGGTTCGAGACTGTTGGCTAGTGAAGGCCAAACTTGGGTTTCTGATAACAGAACCTTTGCTTTTGGGTTCACGCCAGTGCCTAACAATCGTGACCGCTTTCAACTGGCAATCTGGTTTGCTGAGCTCCCTGGAGACAGAACAGTAGTTTGGTCAGCTAACAGGTAAGTGCTCCAGTAATCGTCATTTATATTTGTTCATTTTAGTTGCTTATGTGATTTTGTAAATGTACGTAGTATTTGAGCATTAGTCCAACTTGACAGTAGCTAATTAAGTTCAATCCAATTCAACTTTAATTAGCTGAGAGTGAGTGCATGAAACATTGGATGGTTACTGGTTTATGACTTAGAAAAAAGCACAAACCATTTCTCCATCTCTAGTCTTTAGTCTTTACGAAAGCTCTTGCAGGTAAAATATGATGATCTCTTTAAGCCAAAACTTTGATTTTCTCTCAATGATCATCTATTAGAAACTCTCCTGTCACCAAAGACGCAATCCTGGATCTGGACACCACCGGAAATCTTGTTCTTATCGACAGGGAAGCCGCCATATGGAGTTCAAACACCTCAGGCGCCGGGGTTGAATATGCAGTCATGTCAGAATCCGGGAATTTCATCCTTTACACCACGAACAACCGCTCTGCTTGGCAAAGTTTTTGGCACCCTTCTGATACATTACTCCCAAACCAGCCCTTAGGTGTTTCTCTTGAACTGACCTCGCCCAAGTCACCTTCACATGGAGGCTACTACTCACTCAAAATGCTGCAACAGCCCACGTCATTGAGCCTTGCATTGACCTATAATTTGCCTGAATCATATGATGCTTCACCTGAAGCTTATGCAAATATATCCTACTGGTCTTCGCCAGAGATTTCGAATGTTACTGGGGATGTTGTTGCTGTGTTAGATGAAGCTGGAAGCTTTGGAATAGTATATGGTGACACATCAAGTGGAGCAATTTATGTGTACAAGAATGATGGTGATACTGGTGGCTTGTCATCCGCTACAAATCAATCGACTCGTTTGTCAGTTCTCCGGCGATTGATACTTGAGACTAATGGGAATATACGTTTGTATAGATGGGACAATGATGTTAATGGATCTCGCCAATGGGTTCCAGAATGGGCTGCTGTTTCGAACCCGTGTGATATTGCTGGAATATGTGGAAATGGGATATGTAAATTGGACAGAAGCAAGACTAATGCTTCTTGTACATGCTTGCCCGGTACTTCTAAAGGAGGAAGCGATGGCCAGTGTTCAGAGTCTTCATCATCGATTGGAAAATGTGATTCAAGGAGAGAAAATCAAACTTCCCAGTATAAAACTGCGGCGGTGGCCCAAACAAACTATTATTTCTCTGATTATTCAGTGATAACCAATTACAGTGATATTGACACAGTATCTAAATGTGGTGATGCTTGTCTTTCTGATTGTGAGTGTGTTGCTTCTCTTTATGGCCTTGATGATGAGAAGCCTTACTGTTGGGTTTTGAGGGGCTTGGATTTTGGTGGCTATGAGGACCCTGGCTCGACTTTGTTTGTGAAAATTGGGGCTAATGGCTCAACTGCACCGGGAGGATCTGATGATTCCTCAGAAGGGTCTGGGAGTGTCCGCCAAAAGGTTTTGGTCATTCCTATTGTTCTCAGCATGACTGTCCTTATTGGACTCCTCTGCTTGTTATTGTATTTCAATGTTCATAAAAAGCGAGCCTTGAAGAAAGCTATGGAAAACTCTTTGATTGAAACTGGTGCTCCACTGAATTTTACTTACCGTGATTTACAAATTCGTACCAGCAATTTTTCGCAGCTTCTTGGAACAGGTTAGTCATATAACTGAGGTTTTTATATTTGAACAGAGGAGACAGATGCAGGGGAAATTGTTGTTGGCATTTACTTTTCTGATGTTGTCTTACAGGAGGATTTGGGAGTGTATACAAGGGAAGCCTTGGAGATGGGACTCTGGTTGCAGTAAAGAAACTGGACAGGGTTTTGCCTCACGGAGAGAAGGAATTTATAACTGAAGTGAATACCATTGGTTCAATGCATCACATGAACCTGGTTCGTCTATGTGGCTACTGCTCTGAGGGCTCACACCGGTAACCAATACTTTCATTTTCAATACATAAATGAATGTTTGATTCTAAAACTTGTTCATCTCAGTCTTTATGCAAACTAGCAGGAGTTATGATCAAGTTTTTTAATTTACTTGAAATTTTGTTTCTTTGGCAGTCTTTTAGTCTATGAGTTTATGAAAAATAGATCCCTGGACAAATGGATCTTTCCTTCATATAATTCCCGCGACAAGCTGCTGGATTGGCCTACTCGCTTCAATATAGCAATTGCCACGGCACAAGGGATTGCATATTTTCACGAGCAGTGCAGAAATCGGATAATTCACTGTGACATAAAGCCGGAAAATATTTTGCTAGATGAGAACTTCAGCCCCAAGGTATCGGATTTTGGACTGGCTAAGTTAATGGGAAGAGAGCATTCACAAGTTGTCACCATGGTCAGAGGAACAAGAGGTTATTTGGCTCCAGAGTGGGTTAGTAACCGGCCTATAACTGTAAAGGCTGATGTTTACAGTTATGGAATGCTTCTTCTGGAGATTGTTGGTGGCAGGAGAAATCTTGATATGTCTTATGATGCTGATGACTTCTTTTATCCTGGATGGGCTTTTAAGGTACTTCAAAATGCTTATTTTTGCTTAATTCAGCATAATATCAAATCCTTATTTCTATCAATGTTGCCATTTGCAGGAGCTGACAAGTGGGACACCATTGAAAGTTGCAGATGGACGACTGGAAGGGACGGTGGATGAAGAAGAGGTGACGAGAGCTTTAAAAGTTGCGTTTTGGTGCATTCAAGATGAAGTGTTTATGAGGCCTTCAATGGGAGAAGTGGTGAAGATGTTAGAAGGATCAATTGACATAAACACACCACCAATGCCTCAGACAGTCTTGGAATTGATTGAAGAAGGCTTAGACCATGTATACAGAGCCATGAAGATAGATTTTAATCAATTTAGCTCCGTCACCATCAACAGTCTTCCTTCATCGCATACGCATTCGCACGCGACCTGCAGTTATTCCACAATGTCACCCAGATAGTCTAGGTTCATGAAACCAAATATTTTTGGATAATGTAGAATTAGGATATGTGCACCAAGGATAACCCTTAAGTGGCTTAAGCCCCATGCTCAAGCCTTCTCATTATACCTTGTGTTCATCTCGGCTGGTCAAATTTTGTGTTGAGATGAGTTAATTGCTCTGTTAAAGATGAATTTATATTCTGAAGGAATTTTGAATAACTGAAGCTTGATTAATATCAGATTTATCATTCTTGGAATGACTGTAACTAGTGAGATAATCCCAACAATTAGTTATTCTGAAGCACCGCATCACAACTCCATGTTGAGCTGAAGCCTTGATTACTGAAATTGGACTGAGATGAGATCAGCAGTAGGAGTGAAGCTTCTTTTCTCAACTTATGATCTCTTATTATTTATATTCTGCTAATTTTTTTTACAAACACTTTAAGTACATAGGGTAAATTTTTCATTGCCTGTTTAAATTTTCTTAATTATTTATTTATTTATTTCTGTCTCTCACAGTATAGTAACGAAAGGGTAAATTTCAAGAAAGCGTACTAGAAAATACCAGGAAAATAAAGTTATGGAAGATCTCCATCACCATGATTGTGCTTTCATGTAAAAACTCGTTTTGAATTTAGCAGCTTTGTGTTTCCCTACGAGAAACAAGAACATTTCAGAAATTGATAAAGAAACAGAAAAATGACTCTTATCTCTTCAATGTTGTATCTTTAAGAAACCTCCTAGATCATAAAAAAACTGAGAAGAAACATGATGAATATGGATGGAGCCTTCCGAGCTCAATAGTTATATGCTGCCAATCCATGAAGCTTGAAATAACCTACATGTTGTCGAACAATTAAAAGTTTCCACTCTCCGGCCAAAAACAGAGTAGAAGTATGAAGAATCTTTGCATGATTTGATGAGTGGAAGAATAATTTCCCAGGCCAGAAACTTACTTCAGAGTTCAGACAAAGGATATACAAAGATCTTGCCTTCTTACTTTATAAAAAAATTTAACTAGGGCAACAATGATTCCGAAGCAAGAACAACAAACTGCATCTTGAGTCTTGACCACGCGCGAGTTAGGACTTGAAGTAGGTGT